CAAAAAAAAAGATACAATAATTTGAATCTATGTGAGCAATGTGAAAATATGATGCAGCAGTAACAGCCTGCGACAGGCCATGCTGCAGCAGCTTCTATGAACCTTCCTTCTTAGGAGTATTTGCCATAACCTCAAACTTGGCTGACGCATTGGATAACGCAGTGTAAAATGTTCAGGTTATTAGAGAGCGTTGTTGCCTTATAAAACACCGCTGGCTTTTTAGTATTTGGAAACTGGCGCTCTGATTGGTTGGTTCATTAGAGCCGGCCAATCAGAGCACCCAATGCATACTCGAATTCGATCATTTTAAACATAACACAAACTCTTAGTAAGCCCTCTGGTTACATCAATAACAACAGTCTATAAGTGGCCACTGCTGACCAAATGCCTCTTCTCATACAGAGAAGTTTTCAGCAAATCGCCACGCTTAGTCAATGCCGGTTGGCAATTTCCAACTTATGATTAGAAATTATAAGCTTACCTACCTTTACCGTTTGTCAGTGGTGTCTATATAATCTTAAAAAGTACATATAACTCGGAAAAAGTCACATTGGTACTTGCTGTTGGTAGGGTTCGAACCTTCATGCATGAGAAGCGGACGTCTTAATCCTCCAAGCCACTACGAATCTTTTGTTATTACATAGCTAGCGAAAGATATATAGGTGTTTTATTTAAACACTTTTACCTTCCTCTTAGGAAATTAAAATCGTATTACAATATCAATCTACCTGTTTTGTTTTTTAAACAAAAACAGAATCCTTACGCGTGTTCACAATTTATTTATAGAAATATTGAAACGGAAAAGTTCACGGAAAATAAAAGATTGGAAATAGGTGTATTATTCTATTGTCAACGATACTGAATAGTTATGCTCGTGGGTGGAGAATCTGAGGTCCTTTTGTCGAATAGCAAGTGTACTTTGAACTCCTTCCTATGTTAGTTGTAGGTACATTCTTGTGACGGAGAGGGGTCAAATTAATTGGTCGGTTAAGTATTCGTTAAGCACACATGTTGTATGAGAATATAGCTAAGTGTGCGGATAATATTCTCTGAGTATATTATGTTTATTTTGAGGCTTACATACTTTGACTGTTCGATAGTCTATCGGTTGTGTACATGGATCGTATGGTCTGAAGTCGGATCCCCGAACACAAAACAATATGTCATTTAAAACAAATCTCATTGACTGTTTCGATGATCATGAGATAATAGGGTAGATGCCTAATTTTTATTTTAATGTCCGTCTGGTAGATTATTTTAAATCATTAGACACGATTTTTTTATTTACTTACAGAAACGAATATTTTCGACAATATATTGATTTAAAATGTCGCGTGACGTCGCTTCTATGTACATTTTATACGTAGAAATGACTTTTTAGCCCCCGCTCCTAAACTTTGATTCTTTTTATATAAGTATTGTTTTATAATACAACAAAATAAAAAATACGTGTCTAATATTTTTTAATTACCTAACTTACGGACTAATTAAATTTTTAATTTTCATACCCTGTCATCATCCCAATTGACCAATATATGTAATCATGTAATATACTCTTGTCATTATAAATTTTAGCTTAGGTTTAATCATCATCATCAACAGCCCACGGCTGAGCAAATACGTAGAAGGTTCGAGCATTAATTACCACGCTTGCTCAATGCGGGTTGGTGATTTCAAACTTATAATTCGTAATTATAAGTCCAGGTTTCCTCGCGATGTTTTCCTTCACCGTTTGTCAGTGGTGTCTACATAATCTTAGAAAGTATGTACATATAACTTGGAAAAAGTCACATTGGTACTAGCCGTTGGTAGGTTTCGAACAGGCACCCTCATTCATGAGAAACGGGCGTCTTAAACCTCCGGGGCACTTACTCCTTTCTTCTTTGCACTTTCAAACTTCACTTTGACCAAGTTTCAGTAGTGCCGAAGAATTTGAAGATACAACAGACTTCACTGCCTCGCTGGCCGAGTGGTCGCAATTGCAACTGCCGGGCAGGGGGTCTCGGGTTCGATTCCCGGGTCGGGCAAAGTACTACTGGGTTTTAAAAAAAAATCTCAGTAGTAGCACGGTGTCTGCAATTGTGCCCGGTATATGGCAATAGGCTCACCCCCTATTACATGGGACTCATAACATGAATTGTGAAAAGTGGGTGTTACATTGTACAGTGGTATAATGTGCACCTCTGCCTACCCCTTCAGGGATAAAAGGCGTGATGTTATGTATGTATGTATGGAACAGACTTCAACACGTAAGCGGTGTAAGTATTTAATTAGACGCCTAATGACTGGTTTCCTGGTTATAGTCCTCAAGCATTCATGTCTCCCTACCCTGTAAAGCATTTTCTCAATTTTAAATTCCTCAATATTCAAGAGACAGTAACCTATTAAATAACCTTAAGATTTTCAAATTAAGTATTCCACGTCTATTACATGCCGCCATCTTGTTAGAAGTTAGACCGAACAAGCGCTAGTTTCGAATTCATTTATTAAAATTTTAAACTTAGAAATTTTAGCTCGGACTTTAAACGACGTTTTTAAATAGGAATCTAGAATAATATTAAAGTTTCGAGCGTGACACGGAGAGAATAGCTTGAAGAAGCTCATTGTCGTGGGTAATGTTGAAGGGAGAAGGCAAGAGGACGATCCTCAACTAGATATCTGGCCAGCTCAAAGACAACCCAGCATTGAGGTTCTACACCACAGGACAGGACAGAACCCGAAAGAGACAATTCTTCAGATTCTACTCAATCACGATGGAACGTCTGGAGGGATTATAGTTTCACATAACATGAAGCTATGTGGTGACGGCAAAATCCTTATGTCTACGCTTTTTCCTATACAAATATGTCGTAAGAGCTGACTAAGAGACTATTGAACTTTTTGTCGTACTTCGCTAAATGTACAAATCTGGGGCGACACATGGTACATGCCAACGGATGACGTCACAAAAATCCTACATCGCACATGCAAAGTTTACATACAAATTAACACGGATAGAAAATCCCAACGAACAACTGTTGGGCAGAAAGCCCGCCAGGCACGATCACCTCACCTGGTCGGAGGATCCTCCTTTTCCGATCTTAGGGAACTATACTCTCTGTTCCCTAAAGTGGTTTGCATGTGCAATGTAGGATTTTTGTGACGTCATCCGTTGGCATGTACCATGTGTCACAACAAATCTATCTCTCCATACATCCATCAAACGTTACAATAGTTTCTTCAACGTACTAAATAATTCAAGATACCGCAAAAAATCTGAACACCTAACTTTGTTCCACTTCCAGTTCCAAAAAACTTAAAGTATCATTGGCGAAATGGCTCCTCAATACATTCGATAATAGAAAAGTTCTGAACAGTTCCCTGCTAATAACAAATTCTTTATTGCTGTACGTCGTAATACAAAGTTTTCAAACTTGTCTCACATTGAACAGAATCGCGTGAAATTCGTACGAAAATCGTTGTTATTGTACTTATGTCGAAACTACGACCGCATTTAATGGAATTATTATTTTATCGAATTCTTTTGACATCACAAAGTTCGGGATTAATGTTCGTACTTTCAATTTTTGGGTTGATTATTTTTCTGTGGACGTGATTTTCGTTGGAGTTTTTTTTAGAGTTTACAAACTAATGGTGGCTTTAATAGTGAATAAAATTTGACTGTTGATTTATTTTATGTATGTCACTCCAATAACATGTTTGTTTATGAGGATAAGCCGATAAACTACTAGATGTATCACCTAATTGTAAGCAATCGGCGTCGCCCATAGACACTCGAAACACCAGAGGCGTTACAAGTGCGTTGCCGGTCTTATGGGGGTTTGGAATTTTATCACTCACATGACGAAACAAAACGACCGAATAACCGAAGGGTTATATATGAGGCCGTGGCATCACTCCGATTGAGCCGACACTTTCGTACCCAAGCATGGTTCTCTCATACTACAACATGAAATTAACGAAGTAGGTAATGGTTTCCCAGTCACATTACAATACTAGATGACCAGGCTACTCTGAAGTCTCGAAGTGAGCTCGATGGCATTCTCGTCCGTCATTCGTCGAGATTATTGCAAAGTTGGTTTTGCTCGAATACTAAACATGGAATAGGGAACAGACTTCTAGGAGAAGAAACCAGCAACATTCAGTCAACAGTTTTCTATTTATACTACTTTCAGTTAAAATTTCTATCACGTATTAAATTAACATTTTGTGATGAGAAAGCGCTCCGTGAAATTACAAAACGTGAACCGTAATTATTATTGTTCACGATAAAGTCAATAAATACAACGATCCCTGTTTATTTTAGTAACATTCGTTAAAAAATAACCAACAATTTTGTATATATTTATTACTAGCTTTTACCCGCGGCTTCGCTCGCGTCACAAAAGGATAAAAAGTAGCCTATGTGACATACACCAATACATACAACGCCATCTATACCAATACTTTTGTTTTCCCTCGGGAATATAAATTTTTTTCGGGATAAAAAGTACCCTATTATTTAATCCAGACTACTAACTTTACGTCTGCAAAAATTCAATGCAATCGGTTTAGTAGTTACGGCGTGAAGTCGGAACAAACAAACAAACAAACTCACTTTCCGATTTATAATATTAGAGGTATATTAAGTAAGGATTTTTACTTTGTAACGAGTAATTATAATTATGTTTCATGTTATATTCTGTTGTATATCCATGTACGTACATCCTGTGGGCCAATTCTCGGAAGGGTATTTAACAAATTTTGTAATAATATTTTTTTATTTGCTCATTGGAGTAGGCACAGCATCATCACAGTTCACCACATAGTGTATGTCATAGTCAGATATCTAAAATTCGATGAACATATTTTTTTCATATTTCCACCACGTACTTTTTGGATTATACACGACACTTAATTGTAATCAAATAGACAGTTAGTAGCATAAATACAAACTATTACAACAAAATATAATTTTAATGTAAATTACTCAAAATAACCTGTACAATAAACATCGATAACTATGAGTTAAAAAGTTCAGCAAATTTCATTATGCCAATGTGTACTTCTTTGGCGGCTGGTAAAATCTCTTTTGGTACAAGAACATCCAGTCCGTTTTGTCCTCTCGTCTCTATAATGTATGAATGTTTGATCTTTTTTGTGAAGTACATCCAATCTATGGCCATGCCGTAGCCTACTTTCCCCATAGCATGGATGTCACCACTAACGAACTGATAATTCTGAAAGCCTCGCATTGCCTGTGAAACAACAAATGAGTACAGTTTTTGAAAGATTTTTAGAGTCTGTAAAACTAATATTCTGATTCATAAATTCATGTAATAATTTATAACACAAAAGTTGATGACTTTAAGATTTGAATAAGATTATTTTTTTGACTTGAAAGTTTTTTTAGGAATGTAATCGTTTTTATTTCCATAAATCTATAAGGTGTAAAATAACAAAGAAAAAATATTATGTTCACAAATAAATACGTATAATTAATATTCGTATAATATTGTAAATATGCAATTGTACACCTTAACTTATCTTTTCTAAGAATAACTAAATGTCATTGTTTTAAAGAATCTCCGCCGAGGCAGATTTGCAAAAACCAAGTTAATACATTTTAAAAACTCGACTCTACACAGACCGCAATAGCGGGGCATAAATCATCAGCAATGATGTAGTATAATACTTCTTTCCCCGAAGAAAACATAAGGTTTATTATTCATGATATAAAAATAGATATAGATAATTTGAAACCTTACCTGTGCCATCGCCTTGGTCATAGTAATTTGGTCCACATGGTCACTACTAGTGACTCCCATTGGAAATAAAACCTTCGTGCCAGCAGAGTGAATGGACAGATAACCATGGAAACGTGGACCATCTGTTAATTTCTGAAACATAAATATTTTACTAATGTCAAATTGCAGTAATTAAAAATGGGGGTGTAATAAGTTAGATGCCTAATTTTTATTTTAATGTCCGTCTGGTAGATTATTTAAAAACATTAGACATGTATTTTTAATTTTCTTACAAAAACGAATACTTTCAAGAAACCTTGATTTCGTTAAGTCACCTTGAGCAAGTGTGGTCATTAATGTTCCTTGTGAGAAGAAGCATTTGCTCGGCAGTAGTGGGCTTTTATAGCCTGATGACGATAATGATAACTAACACAAAAATGGAAATTTAAATTTATGTAATACTAGCTTTTACCCGCGGCTTCGCTCGCGTCACAAAAGAATAAAAAGTAGCCTATGTGATATATACCAATACACACAGAACCATCTATACCAATACTTTTGTTTTTCCTCCGGAATACCAATTTTTCCGGGTTAAAAAGTACCCTATTATTTAATCCGGACTTCTAACTTTACGTCTGCAAAAATTCAAAGCAATCGGTTGAGTTGTTACGGCGTGAAGGTGGAACAAACAAACAAACTCACTTTCAGATTTATAATATTAGTAAGGATGTAATAGGGTAGATGCCTAATTTTTATTTTAATGTCCGTCTGGTAGATTATTTTAAATCATCAGACACGTATTTTTAATTTTCTTACAGAAACAAATACTTTCGACGATATATTGATTTGAAATGTCGCGTGACGTCACTTCTATGTACATTTTATACATAGAAATGACGTTTTAGCCCCCACTCACAAACTTTGATTCGTTTTATCTAACTATTGTTTTATTATACGACAAAATTAAACGTTTAAATACGTGTCTAATATTTTTTCATTACCTAACTTACTTATTGTATAATAAAGAATTTATTAAACTTATCATCCAAGAATTTTTGTACTGAATAATAATAACACTTGTGCATAAGTAATTTTGTAACATGTTTTCTTTTAATTTTGTTATTAGTTGTTCCTTGACATTTTTAACATTACTAAACAATACAGAAGTTCAAGTAACTACTAAACTGCACTTGCCATACATTAATTATCAGTTCAAAAATGTCACAAAATGGCCAGAAATAGACAAAGTTCTGAAGACATATAATATCCATCCATTAATCCCCCAGTAGACCAAAGGGGATGGAAGCGAGGTCAAAATAGGGGAGAATATCCTTCAATATTTTTAACTTTATGGCGAACGACGAAACTTTTCTCGACCAAAAATATCACCTTTTCTAAGACATTTGGAGATAAAATTGAATAATACTGACTATGATTGGTTCTTATTAATCTTTATTTGACTGCCTCATTGGCCGAGTGGTCTCAAGTGCGACTGCCGGGCAATAGTGTGTAACTTTATAATGTTATACTTAGCAATTTGTAGAAAATCGAAAATTATAAAAAGTTATGATTATTAATTGAATGAATGCCTCGTTGATCGAGTAGTCGCAAGTGCGACTGCCGGGCAAGGGGTCTCAGGTTCGATGCCCGGTTCGGGCAAAGATTTACTGGGTTTTAAAAAAAAAATCTCAGTAGTAGCACGGAGTCTGGAATTGTGCCCGGTACATGGCAATAGGCTCACCCCCTATTACATGGGACACATAACATAAATAGTGAAAAGTGGGTATTAGGTACATTGCACAGTATAATCAACCGCTCAAGGCTGATGTTTCGTCAATAACACGTAAATAAAAACGATTTATTTACAGCACGGTTGGCGTGGTGGCTAGGCAACTGGCTGCCGTGCAATGTGCTGAGAGTTCGATTCCCGCACGGAACAACTCTTTGTGTGATCCAAAAATTGTTGTTCCGGGTCTGGGTGTCATGTGTATGTGAACTTGTATGTTTGTAAACGCACCCACGATACAGGAGAAAATCTAAGTGTTGGGCTATTTTACTAAAAAAAAAAAAAAACTAAATTTAATTTTTTTTTTCAGCGGGAGCGTTTCGTTTACACTCTTAAAACACATCATAAAATTGGAAAAAAAGTATTGATAAAAGTTACTTTTAAAATATTTCTAGATTGCTACTAAAGAATAACTGACCTTAAAAGCTTGGGTCTCTGGTTCGGAGAATGGTGCACGCCCACAAAAGGTATCACTGCATACAGATCTTGTGGAACTCTGCTTAGCCCAATTGTACCTGGAGCAAAATAAATACAAACATTAATACTAATACGGGATTATTATTAAAGTGCTCCCTCTCCGGGAGCATTCGCGTGTAATGTAACGTTACAGATCTGAGCAGTACATTAGTGAAGGAGGAGAACCGAGCATTGCAATGCGCACCTTGTAATGATACAATGTGTCATATCTTGATACGACTTGTAACATCAATGCGCTCCACTTCCCCCATCCAACATTAATATGTTACATTAAACGCAATTAATACTCGTTATTACATTACACGCAAATGCTCGTTAGTCAGGGCGGTATTATTGTAATGTAATGCTCAAAGTCGAATCTATAATGTTACATTACACGCAAATGCTCGTTAGTCAGGGAGGTATTATTGTAATGTAATGCTCAAAGTCGAATCTATAATGTTACATTACACGCAAATGCTCGTTAGTCAGGGAGGTATTATTGTAATGTAATGCTAAAAGTCGAATCTATAATATTACATTACACGTGAATGCTTCCGGAGAGGGAGCACCTTTAAATTACATTACAGAAACGAACTTATTTTTATCTTTATTCAGTTTAACTGAACCAAATTTTACTTTATGTAATAAAAGGATGACCTAATAATGATACATTGAACTCAGGTCAAATTAAGATATCATGATTTTATGCAACTCTAAAACTATAATTGTATATTTTATGTTGCATAAAACATGGCTTTGTTCTACTAGAAAACATTACATTTGGTTCTGAACTTGGATATGAATAACATGATTTAGTATAATGGAACTCAAACCAAAGTTTTAATGAACCAAATGTCATCTTCAGGACATTTTGAGAAACGATGACACGTAACCAAACCCCTGACAAACCCCATAAGGGGTTATGTTGCAATTTGGGGTGATGTAATACTAAACTTGATGGTGGGGGGTAAGGGATAACTCCCGCTCTGAGGGCCTAGTACAAGTTCATTTATCGTTTAACGCTGATCGACACGTTTATGACGTTCGGCGCTCTGATTGGATGCTCCAATTAACCAACCAAAGTCGTAGGCGACGCGTCTTGCGTCTCCGATGAGCGAAAAAACAATATTGTGGGTTGATTGGGGCTGCCGCGTTGGCGCGACTACTGGTCCCCGTTGTAACCGTATGATTTCCCACTCATCACAGACGCGAGCGTACGGCGAGCATGGCTCGCCGCCCGACCAGGAACCAGACCCGAGCGTACGGCGCGTCGCGTTCTGCGCGCGCCTCAAAGAGCCATCTAACCACCACGGATGGGGCCCAATAGGAGTCGTGGAGAACCTAACGGACTACCGAGGCTCCCACTCGAAGTGCAGGAGTAGGAACGGGGTGGTTTTTAGTCAGTAAGAGTCGACACTCCTTCCCGGCTCACCCAGGAGGGAGCAGAAATACGATGATATTCCCCCATTAAAAAAAAATAGACGCGATAAAGTTTTGATCATGGTAAACGTGAAACAATTCCTACGTGCAACTAGGCCCTCTGTTCTCTTTTATAAATGACGGTAGCATGCCAGTACAAATATAAACTGTTACATTAGCGCTCTGCAACCTCGCGCTGTAGATTCATGGAAATAATTGCGAAGGGAAAGTTTGTTGGTCTCATTAAAATGATATATACATAGTAACTTGTTTTTGTTTACGTAGTTTTCAGTTGTTGTACCTCCACAATGTATTAAGTTGGTATACTTGTCATCTGAATGAATGGAAGTTAGATTTGATATTGGACTTTTGAATGGTACCGAAAACATTATAAGTATTTATTTTCAGTATTTTTTATGGCACAAGCCGGTAAACGAGCAGACGGACGTGATGGTAAGCAATCGCCGTCGCCCATGGACACCTGGAACACCAAAGGTATTACCAATGTGTTACTGGCCTTTTCGGGATTAGGAGTTTGAGGATCGTTGGGGATTCAGGGATTGGGGAGATTGGAGAAGGGGAGGGTAATTGGGCCTCACTTACACGACGAAACACAACGCAAGCGTTGCTTCACGTCGGTTTTCTGTGAGGCCGTGGTATCACTCCGGTCGAGCCGGCCCATTCGTGCCGAAGCATGGCTCTCCCACGCTTATTATCTATTTTTGTCTAGCAAAAAATATGCTATGGATTATTTTAGGGGGGAAAATCATCAAATAAATCTCCCATCCAGGTGAGGCGGGAGGGAGCGTCAGACTCTTACTGACTAAAACCACCCTATGCTATGGGTTAAGAAGAAACATTTACGTACTTTGAAAAGTTACATGTGCACTGTGAAAATTGCTTCATAAACAAGCCGTTGCACGTCGCCATGATCCAGACTCAAACTTACCCGACATAATAACCTAATCAGGTAACATCACTATAGTATATACAAAGTCGCTATCCGCCGTCTGTCTGTCCCTATGTATGCTTAGATCTTTAAAACTACGCAACGGATTTTGATGCGGTTTTTTTTAATAGATAGAGTGATACTTAAGGGAGGTTTATATGTATAATACATGGATATTGCACCCGTGCGAAGCCGGGTCGGGTCGCTAGTTAATTATAATTGCAAATTAGTTGTAACCTTGTGCAACCTGGATGGATTAAGTGGAATTATTGGCTTGGCTGTATGACTATTAGTTGGTCCTTCCGTATATCGAACCGAAGGACCGGTTTTTGAGACCCATTTTATAATAACGGTTTGTAATATGTACTTTGAAAATGGTAATCCTATGTATTAAGTGTTTAGCAGTCTATTTATAGTTGAAGTATAAAATTTAGACAGCCTCGTTGGCCGAGTGGTCGCAAGTGCGACTGCCTGTCAAGGGGTCTGGGGTTCGATTCCTGGGTCGGGCAAAGTATTACTGGGTTTATTTAAAAAAGTGGGTGTGCACCTCTGCTCAACCGTCGGGGATAAAAAGCGTGATGTTATGTTACGTTATAAAATTTGTTACAAAAACGGCGTAATAAATTAAAGTACCGTATGTACTATTCACTAGCTTTTACCCTCGGCTTTGCTTTAGTCAGCCCATACCCTGCCTGTATACATTAAAATCCGTTCAGTAGTTTCAGCGTGATTAACAGACAAACATCCAAACAAAGATACTTTCACATTTATTAGTTTGATACAAAACTCTGTCAGCATTATTATTTAGATTAGATAAAAAAATCTTCGATATGTCTCCAACATTCCTAGTCCCTACTAATGACTTTTGGAAACGAGTATAGAACCGCAATTCAATTTCAAAAAAAGTCTTAAACAAATACAGCATATCGGTCATTCCAATTTACCCAAATTGCTATTTAAAATAGAACATTGTTTACTTTGTACCCAATGTTTCACCCTTCTAAGCATTCAAAAACTCCCCAAACGCCAACAATTCCGAAACAAGAAGAAATGAGGTAAGGAGTAATTAACATTGTCGACAGAAAATTATACATCGTGGAATCTTCTGCCTAACACTTCATGAATAAAAATGAGAAAACACCACATGGCTAGAGCAAATTTTGTTAAATATTCTCAAAAAAGCTTGAAAATAAGTATCTGGAGTACTAATTGTGGATTTGAAGGAATTATTGCGGTTAGCTTAGCCTCTCGTTAAATAAGGAGAGCCTTCCCTTTGGCTGGTTTGACTGTGAATTCTAATTATGTCTGTAGCCGACTGGGCCATTTGTACCGTCTAGAGCATGCAATTGACCCAGTTATATTGTGGGTGTAAAAATATCGCCTCTACATCATACAGTTATGCTATGCAATGTTAGTAGTAGTAGAAATGTTCATTTTTATTTTTATTTCTTAATTTTGCCTATTGTCTCGTTTTATATTTTGAAAATGAAATTAAGTGAACTGAAATGAAATTAAATTAAATTAAATTAAACGAAATGAAACGTTTATTTCTAAAAAAAGAATGTAAAATGGGTCTGTCTCGGTAATACAATATTTTTTTACAAAGAAATGAAGTGTTTAAAACAAAAGATAAGTGGTGCACCACAAAAGTAAACTTCGAAAGTGTATACGAACTCATAGTACATAATTAATACATAACGGCATGTAATTCTCGAAGAGGTATTTCCAGCGAATTTCTCGTCGAATGGTACGTGCGATGCGAATAGTGCCTAAAAATTACCATCTAATGTCTCATATGCGAAAGCAAATGACATTTTTTTTTAAACTAAAAAAAAATACGATTTCATTTTTTGGTTTTTACTTTACACATCGAAAGTTTCCACGCGCGCCTCAAAGAGCCATCAGACCATCACAGATGGGGCCCAACAGGGCCGATGCCGAGTCGGAGTCGCGGAGAACCTAACGGGTTACCAGGGCTCCGGCTCAACGTGCAGGAGACGGAACGGGGTGGTTTTTAGTCAGTAAGAGTCTGACACTCCCTCCCGCCTCACCCAGGCAGGAGTAGTCATTCGATGATTTCCCCCCCTTAAAAAAAAAATACATCGAAAATACTCCTTATGGCATGTTGTTTTGCCGCAGGGCGAAAACGGTGTAGAATGATTAGTTTTGATCTTGGAATGACAAAAATAGTATTATTTTCTTTTATTTGCTGTTTGTTTCTTTTCATCAGTTGTAAACAAGCTTTGTTTATAAAATAAAAAAATTAAACAAAACAAAAACAAATCTTTTCTCGAATCTCCGTCCTCGGGCGGTAAGCAGTGTTTTTAATCTTGAAGCCGGAAAACCTTATAATTCTTCTTTAATTTTAAATAACATTGTCATTTTATAAAAAAAAAATTCTTTTAAGCGATCTATCTCTTTAAAGAGGCAAAAAAGTTAGTAAAAAGTGCTTTAAAGAAAACTTAATGCTCTTTTAAAAAAAAGATAACGTTACATCACGTCTTTTATCCTCGAAGGGGTAGGTAGAAGTGCACATAATGCCACTGTAAAATGTAACACCCACTATTCACTATTTATGTTATGAGTCCCATGTAATAGGGGGTGATCCTATTGCCGTATACTGGGCACAGTTCCAGACTCCGTGCAACTACTGACAATTTTTTTAAAACCCGGTAGTACTTTGCCCGACCCGGAAATCGAACCTGAGACTCCTTGCCCGGCAGTCGCACTGCCTACCACTGGGCCAACGAAGCACCAAAAAAATACTATATTTATAAAAATCATTACGTTATTACAATGGCATCAATAAGTTAAAATAAACAACTGTGTGTACTCAAAAGGCAACGAAAACACACTTCAATTGATTTCAATCAAAATATATTTTCCCTAACCATCCGAAAGAATAATGTTTTTCCCAAAAAATACATTTTCTTTGGCCATATAAATGAAATTTATGGCTTCCGAAAATAGGTTTTTTGTACTAAATCGCTAACCGAACCAATCAAATCTGATTCACGGTTACCCATAAACCACTATTATTTTAAGAATACTTCTGAAACGAGAAGAAATATCAATTAAAGTAATGTTTCCCTCGTCGATCATCAAACTGATCTAATAGCTTAGCCACGGACAGTCGCGTGTCGACGCGACAGGCGACAAAAACAAATGAATAGAAATGTACTATCGACACATTGGACCTATGACCTATAAGCCAATAAATCAATAAAATCGTCAAAATGACTTCATACCGTGCAGTGTGCAGTGTTTGGGCGACTTATAATTGCGAAACGTGTCGCGGATTCCCTTTTCCACGGAACATTTCTTTATGTAAGCCTCAAATTATTGTTCCGGGTCTGGGTCATGCATGGTATATCAAATTGTATATTTGTAAACGCACACCAATGGCAAAGGGAAATAGCCTAGTAGTTTTTTTGTATCTAACACACTACATACAGTTTGTTTTTATTTTCTTTATTATTTGTCTTTTCTACCTACCATCCGTGAGTCACTGCAGGATGCCAGCAGAAGACCAGCGTTGAGTGTTACCACGCTCAACGTAATGCTGAGGTGAAGGCCCGTTCGGCATGGGCATGCATATATTTTTGCCAATTTTGTGATGTTTATTTTTTGTTTTTATTTATATAATTCTAATTTTTGTCTACATCTCTGTGCATGCAATGTGTCGAATAAATGTTTTTCTTTCTTTCTTTCTACCTTAGTAAAGTTCTAAAATTCATTTCTTAAAAATGATCTCATGCTGAGTCATAATTCAAAGTGGATTGCACTAAGTATGGCGTGTAACACTGTAGTTACAACGTAATTTGAATTCAAAAAACTGCACTACTTAAAGGTTCACTAGGAGACAATGCCCAAGGCATTCCACCTGTACACACTTATTGTATTAAGTTAAAAAATAAATAATAATTTCGTGGCCAAATAATGTACTTTATTCAAGTTAAGCACGTTAAACGTATTATTGTTGCTGCTTTTTTGAATGTTATTTTATGTTTTTATTGTTTTTTTTATTTGATCTTAAATGTTATGTTATCATTGTATATTTGGTGGTTCATGCCTGGTGACGAATAAATTATTTTTCTTTATTTCTTTCTTAAACGCCATAAGAGGATATATGGAAACGTACGGGTCAAACTAGCTAGAAGATTTACCCCCAACAGTTTTTATCGGCAGTCAAAGTCTTAGGACAAGGAGAGAAAATATTGCTGTCACAGGCTTAGTGGGATTGGGGGTTGAAACGCTTCCGAGTCGATAGGTCGGGGAGGTTAAGCCGCGCTTGTCTCTTATATGGGGTCAACTGATTCGGTAATATTGCCTTGCATCACGTATCTTAAGGAAAACCGAATGAAATTATTCCGTATTGTATTATTATTACACATTTAGATCAAATTATTATATATGGCCTTAAGTAAAAAACTAAAGTTAGGGTCATAAAAAAACAACGCGGTATCGCGGTTTCGATTCCCGCACAAAACAACTGTTTGTGTGATCCACAAATTGTTGTTCCGGGTCTGGGTGTCATGTGTATGTGAAACTCGTATGTTTGTAAACGCACCCACGACACAGGAGACAATCCAGAATGGGGCAAAGTTTAAAACAAAACAAAAACAAATTATTGAATATAGCCTTAAAACAAATTTAGGTTAGGTTCAGAAAAAAATATTAATTAAGATGTAACAAATAATGATACAAAGAAACCAGATCCCGACTAATCTATTATTATAATATTCCTCATTTTCGCAGTAATGAATTAATCGAAATTTTTCATATAAAACACAATAATAGTACGAAACAGTACAACTTAATGTCATACATAATAATTAACTTTTTTATAGCATAAGCCGGTAAAAGAGCGGACGGATCACCTGATGGTAAGCAATCGGCGTCGCCCATGGACACCTGGAACACCAGAGGCGTTACAAGTGCGTTACCGGCCTTTCGGGGATTAGAAGTTTGAGGATCGTTGGGGATTCAGGGATTGGGAAAGGGGAAGGTAATTGGGTCTCCGGTAACTTCACTCACACTACGAAACACAACGGAAGCGTTGCTTCATGTCGGTTTTCTGTGCGTTACTTAGTGCAATCATTTGAAAGATAAATGTATATCCTTACTAATATTATAAATCGGAAAGTGAGTTTGTTTGTTTGTTTGTTCCGCTTTCACGCCGTAACTACTAAACCGATTGATTTGAATTTTTGCAGACGTGTAGTTATAAGTCCGGATTAAATAATAGGGTATTTTTTATCATGGAAAAATTTGATATTCCCGAGGGAAAACAAAAGTATTGGTGTAGATGGCGCTGTGTGTATTATTATAGTTATGTCACATATGTCACATAGGCTACTTTTTATCCTTTTGTGACACGAGCGAAGCCGCGGGTAAAAGCTAGTAAATGATAAATAAAAAAGTAATAACTTACTCGAAGTTTCTATTGAGATCCACTCCGTAACAGAATTCGCTGACTTTTCTTCTGTTCTTCTTCCATAGTCGATCATTATTCAGACTGTACTCGTAGCCATCTGGATTAAGCACTGGTATGATATGCCTGGAAGAAAATATAACAACCTTGTTGACTGACAACATGACTGCCTCGTCGCAAGTGCGACTGCCGGGCAAGGTGTCTCGGGTTCGATTCCCGGGTCAAGCAAAGTATTACTGGGTTTTTAAAAATCTCAGTAGTAGCTCGGACTCTGGAAATGTGCCTGGTATATGGCAATAGGCTCACCCCCTATTACATGGGACTTGTAACATAAATAGTGAAAAGTGGGTGTCAACATTAAGTAAATGTGCACGTCGGCCTACCCCTTCGGGAATAAAAAGCCGTGAGTAAAAAGGGGGTGAGCCTATTGGCATATACCGGCCACAATTCCAGACTTCGTGCTACTACTGAGAATTTTTAATGGTCAGCATTCATTCAATTAATAATCATAACTTTTTATAAAAATATATTAGATTTTCTACAAATTGCTAAATGTAAGCTTACAAACTATACGCTTTTCTAAAATACGTTTAAAAAAAACAAATTTACCAATCTCGATCCTTAATATACGAAGGTTGATGACGAAAGTCTCGAACAATGGTATCAATAAAATACAACATCGATACTACTGATGTCCATTCACGACCGTGGATCCCACTGTCTATTAATATAGCCTTATTTGTAGGGTTCATTGTTGATATCTTTAGCACCTAAAATAATAATTAACAGAATAGCAAAATGCAATAATTATTTTAGCACCTATGTTCCGACGAACTTACAATCAAATGGGACCACAGACCGACACGACTGTAATCACTACATAGTATAAAACAAAGTCGCTATCCGCCGTCTGTCTGTCTCTATGTATGCTTAGATCTTTAAAACTACGCAACGAATTTTGATGCGGTTTTTTTTAATAGATAGAGTGATTCTTAAGGAAGGTTTATATGTATAATACAAGCATATTGCACCCGTGCGAAGCCGGGGCGGGTCACTAGTATTGCATAAACAGTAGCAACGACTACTTACCTTCATATTGATAAGCCGGGGGTTGCCGATTTCAAACTTATAATTACAAATTATAAGCCCAGGTTTCCCCACGATGTTTTACTGTATCGGTGATACTTACATAAATAGGTTTATTGTTCACAGACTTGCCTAGTGTGATTAAATTGCAATGTTGATATTTTTTATTAATTCTCTCCAAATATGCATGAATTTGATCCAACGTTGGATATTTTGTCCAGTCCAAAGCTCCTCTAGGCGTTCTATCTGTATAGAGCAATGAGAATCTTTCAAATAAAAATAAGAACTAATATAAATGTTGGTACAATCCTTTCTCTTGGTCTCCATAGTTAACAATTTGTATTTAAATGTAGCCAAAGAATATAACACGGTCTTAAGACGCTTAATAAAACATACCATTGTATTTAAAGTATGATTGGTTGAAGGTAAGTACGTAATACTCCGATCCATTAAAGTAATGTAGGCAAACCAAATCCCGGATTGAGTCGACCAAAGTTAAAACAACATTAGGCGCGCCCACGCCGCGAAGTTTGACCTAAACATCTTTGGCATATCAGCATAAGTTTTGTAACGTTTGAAGTTTTAGACATTCCATAATATGCCTGGAATATTCTAGTAGACGTATTCGGTAGTTCTAGATACATAATTCTTTTATATCGGAATATTATTATATTAACATGGAAGGGTAATTCAGATAATTTCAAGTAACTCGACTAGGCTCAATAAGTGTGGGACACATTTCAACTGCAATTCAATTGAAAATTGCAGTTCGAATGCAATTTGAACGCAGTTGACACGACTGCTATAGAACTGCAATCAGACTGCACGTTTGGTTTGCAGTTCAATTGCAGTCATGAAACGACTGTATTCAAACTGCCTCCGAACTGCAATTTGCGGATGAAATGCAGTCTGTCTATTTGAAGCCTTAGACAGCATCGCGAAGTCAACTTGATTGGCTAGTGTGACATGAAATTAATCGAGATATCTGGTCGAACAGATACGTGAGTAAGAAAGACTAATAGAAACACTTTAAATGTGGGAGAGCCATGCTTCGGCATAAATAGGCCGGCTCGACCGGAGTGATACCACGGCTTCACAGAAGACCGACGTAAAACAACGTTGTATTGTGTTTCGTCGTGTGAGTGAGGTTACCGGAGGCCCAATTACCCTCCCTTTCCCCAATCCCTGAATCCCCAACAATCCTCAAATTCCTAATTCCAAAAGGCCGATAACGCACGTGTACCGCCTCAGGTGTCCATGGGCGACGCCGATTGCTTACCATCAGGTGATCCGTCTGCTCGTTTACCGGCTTGGCTTATCCCATAAAAAAAACACGATAGATTTAATAATAAAACAAAAGTTTGAATATCAACCTTATACTAAACGGAACAAAAGCTACAAAACATTCTTACCAATTTGACCATAGCGTCTGGTAGGAAACGTATGCACCAGAGCATCATCGACTCTCTCACGCACGTCTTCTATCAAAATTTTATGAGAGACATTGTGTTCGTCCAAAAAAGAAGCCATTTGGTCAGCTTCGATATCAAATATCATGAAGTCGATCGTTCTATTGTCTCTCATCCATATCTCATCATCGTAGTGTGCTGCAAGACAAGATGTTTTTTTTTAATATTTAATGGGCCGACGTTTGACCACTATCTCGATTGGTGGTAAGGGATGATGCGGTCTACGATGGAGCACGTTGTCCCATAAGCTACCTATTCACTCGAGCCTTGAAGACTCCCAGGTTATATAATAGACCCTTCACGAAATACAGACTTTAGTTCAGTATTTATATTTGTGTAATCATTATTGTTTTGATTTTTTATGTTAATTTAATTTCATTTTAGTTTCATATTCTATTGCAACGTTTTCTTTTCCTCTAATTAATCTATTGCTAATTTATTTATGTAAATTAATGCAACTTAATTTGATTATTTAACCGACATCTTATATTCTAATTTTGCATTCATTAATTGATATTTGTTTTTCTTAAAGAATGCGGTGCTCGCTTGTAATCGATTGTAACATTTTACTGTTATCTTATTTAATATCTTATTTAAATGTTTGTTGTTTAATGTACTAATGTATATACAATTGTTGGTGGGCCAATAAAGATAAATAAATAAATAAAATAAATTGTTTGTTACGGTCAAGTCTTCTCTTTCTGCAGTCTTTATCTCGCTATTCAATTCGTAATCATCAACATTTATGATCAAACTACGGTAAGTCTTATCCATCTTTTAGATGCATTAGTCTCTTATCTGTCGGCATGCGAGACACAATAGAAAACACATTGTGTCTCGCGTATATATACGTTCCGACATACCAACAACAGGCTAATATTTTGCCCTTAGCTTCACTCGCAACGCGCTAAATATTGTCAAAAATTATATACTAATCCTGGTTTTTCAAAAAAAAAATGTGATTAAGTAACCATTTATCTCTAGATCAAAACTTACCAAAATCGAATTAGCCATTTAAGTAAAACCTCATTTTAGACTACATCAAACATTTTTATTTGTATAGTACCTATACAAGTAGGTACAGTATAGTCTCATTAAATTTAAACGTCGTATTGTCGTTGAATAAGTTATCTTTTAACTTAACAAACACATAACTAACCAGTAGTTAATCTCACTATTTCTAAAGAATAAACTATCCGTAACTATTACTAATAGACTATTGGTTATTGAATATAGAAACCGCTAAAACGATACGTCTTCCTACGGCCCATTGATTTCTTTGTGTCGCAGTTCTGTCCTGACCGAAGCCTTATGGGGTCACATTAGTAGCATTATAGTGTACTATGTCGGCTAAACGATTACATTCAATGGTGCGGAAGACTATCCCATACTTTTTCCATAAAGAGGCAAACGTATATCTTGTTTATTTTATCTTTCTTTTGCCAAGTTTAATTGGCTGTAACTATGTGTATAAGTCTCTGTTTGTTTCGCTCGAAAATGAAAGAAACTGTTATGGAATTCAATAATGAAACATACATAACATAACATTACGTTTTTTTATCCCCAAAGGGATAGGCGGTGCACATTACGGCATTTAATGCCACTGTACAATGTTACACCCACTTTTCACTATTTATGTTATGAGTCCCATGTAAAAGGAGGTGATCCTATTGCGATATATCGGGCACAATTCCAGCCGCCGAACTACAACTAAGATTAAAAAAGAAGTAAAGTATACATATTGGAAAACTGCATCAATCTATTTACAATCCTTGCAGTGATTTTAGGTTTTATACCTATAAAGCAAAACAACATCATCATTTCAGCCATAAGACGTCCAGTGCTGAACGTAGGCCTCCACCAATGACTTCCAAATAGGTTGGTCTGAAGCCACCTGGATTCAGCGGCTTCCTGCAACCTTAATCGGGTTGTCTGTCCACCTTGTGAACCTCAACGCTTTTCAGTACGTGGCATACGCGGCATAAAGCAAATAATAAAAATTATTACGTACCTCGGTCATCAAACTCAGTGAGAACCGCTTGATTCAAATACCCTTGAGCTCTCCATAGTTGCACACGAATGGTACTATTTGGATCTGCTAAAGCACCTAAAATAAAATAATTTAATTTACGCAAACCAAAATTAAAATTCCGAGCACAAAAGACATGAGAGATCACTATCAACAAAATTAACTAATTATTTAGAACAGGAATATAAATTAGGTATATAACACACCAGAATAAATGTTCGAAAAACCTTTTAAAGACAAAAATAGAAAGAGTTTGAACAAAATCATGTTTAATGTGAAATCAATCATTGCAATGGAGGCGATAAGAAATTTTATAGAGGTATAAACCGAAGTGAGATTACATGCAAAATAAATTGACTATAACTTGTTTTTCAGTTACAACTGAAATCTTCAGTGTAAATATTGTTTTACACAAGAGAACACGAAAAAAGAAGGAACCTATGGAGTTTCTTGCTCGTTCTTCTCCATAGGAATCTACGCCTTGGAATGAGCAAATAGCTTCACTTTTAATTTTTTTTTGTTGACGTTCAAAAGTGCCATTCTGGCCCAATTGAAATAAATGATTTTGACTTTGACTTTGACTTGGAAGTGCCAGGTTTTTGTGAAAGTAAATATCAATAAAAAGCAAAGCGAAAAATAATTCTAAGGATACAATAAAAATATTTGTCCGGCTCTTAGTAACACGAAATTATATTTGTTCAGTAATACTGGCTGCGAGATAGTTGTTATTTTTGGATTCAATTTTTTTAGAGATATTTATTATCTGCTTAAACGTAAACGTTTTTTGTTAAACTTATTTGACAAAGACAAACAAACACTTAGGTGAGTATTTACAAAAAAATACAGGAGTATTTTTTGTGCTTTGTAAGACAACTGAAATAGATATACGTGCAAACTTAGGTTTATTAAGGGTCGGCAAGGCGCATGTAATGCCCCATGTATTGCAAGTCTACATAGGCCACGGTAACCACTTACCATCAGGTGAGCCGTGTGCTTGTCTTGCCACCGTCGTCGTATAAAAAAAAACCTCTTCTTTGGTCTTCCTTTACCGAACCAAACTATCACTGTCAACATCATCATCATGCATGAGACCAGTGCTAATGATACGCCGCTCGATACTTGCATGTCTAGCTATCATTTTAAAGACATCATCAGTTCACACTGAAATTAACAAAACTACGTGTAAAAAGCCAACTTCAATTTCCTTCTTGGCAATTGCAAGATAATGGCGTGCAGGTGTAACAGAAAACTCAGTTTTTTGAAGTTGGTTAAAAACCATATAAGTTCATCTGAATATATGACATCATTACCAATTTAAGATAAAATTTAAGTGTGGGAGAGCCATGCTTCGGCACGAATGGACCGGCTTGACCGGAGTGATACCACGGCCCAACAGAAAACCGACGTGAAGCAACGCTTGCGTGGTGTTTTGTCGTGTGAGTGAGGTTAGCGGATACCTAATTACCCCCCTCCCCAGTCTCCCCAATTCCCGAATCACCAACAATCCTCAAATTCCCAATTCCCAAAAGGCCGGTATCGCACTTGTGTTTCACGCCTGATGTATATATATAGCCGATAAAGAGCTTATCCCATATAAAAATACATATACTATAAATCGAAAAGTTTAGTATAAACAAAGAGGAAAACAAATCAGCAAAGTAACATCAATAAATATGTAGTTTAACTCCAACCCTGTACTTTGTTCAGACGACAGTTTGTGCATTCAAACTAGCTGGCCTGAGTTACTTTAACTACAGTGACTACAACAAATAAGTTTGTCAATGAGCTAGTTACAACTTCAAAGCAATCTGTTATAAACTTTCACAGGGATACATTTCGTTTTACCCTTGGTTGATATTTTTTTTTTTTGCTTGGTCGAAAATTATCAAATACGTCTTGCAAAATACTTATTACTTCACGCCTTTTATCCCCGAAAGGGAAGGCAGAAGTGCACAATACGGCACTTAATGCCACTGTATAATGTAACATCCACTTTTCACTATTTTATTTTATGAGTCCCATGTAATAGGGGGTGAGCCTATTGCTATATACCGAGGACATTTCCAGACTCTGTGCTACTACTGAGATTTTGTTTAAAAACCCAGTAATATTTTGCCAGACTCATACCCGGGCTCGGCAGTTACACTTGTGACCACTCGGCCAATGAGGCAGTCTACTCTCGCGAAATACATTTGTCACTGTCGTCACCACATAGTGTTCAATTGCCTACCAGTCAAGATTTTATGACTTAAAATAATAATTACAATAAATCGCTAAATATTTAATTCGAGAACTACTAAGTCAGTTCAGTAATGGAAAATCTTTTTTAAATAGTTGTTATATTTGATTTCTCTAAAATAGACAGAAACATTAAAATGCAGAAAAATATAGAACGTTTTTCCAGTCAGCTTGCGCATAAAATAAAAACCTTATCTTCAATTTATGCATTTTATAAAATTCAGCGTTTTAATTTTATACTTCCCTTTAAAAATGAGCACTCCATACAATATTATTTTAATTCACTAAAAGCTTCATGGAATTTTAACAACACATTTCAGTTGGCATTCCGATATTAATTTAAATCAGTTTCGACTGACCGAAACGAATCGAAATTTAACAAATTCAAGGAATGAAATGGTATTAATGGTAGGTAACATAACATAACTACACGCCTTTTATCCCCGAAGGGATAGGCAGAAGTGCACATTACGGCACATAATGCCACTGTAAAATGTAACACGCACTTTTCACTATTTATATTATGAGTCCCAAGTAATAGGGGGTGAGCCGATTGCCATATACCTACCATGCACATTTTCAGACTCCGTACTAACATGTATAAAAACCCAGTTATAACTTGCCCGACCCAGAAATCGAATCCGAGACCCCTTGCCAGGAAGTCGAACTTGCGACCACTCGGCTAATGCCAATACCACTGCCTGTGTTAATGGTGAACAGCATTTATCCTGCAACATTGTTTTAAATATAGCTTTAACGAGCAAATTCTAGTTATTTGTTGATTGCTTCAATGATATCTATATGTAGTTCCCAGTCGATATCCCGAGTCTTGTAAAATATTACACACACATAACATCACGACTTTTTATCCCCGAAGAGGTAGGCAGAGGTGCACATTACGGCACTTAATGCCACTGTACAATGTAACACCCACCTTTTCACTATTTATGTTATGAGTCCCATGTAATAGGGGGTGAGCCTATTACCATATACCGGGCACTATTCCAGACTCCGTGCTACTACTGAGATTATTTTTTAAAACCCAGTAATATTTTACCCAACCCGGGAATCGAACCCGAGACCCCTTGCCCGTTGCAAAATATTATTGCTAATTTAACCTGCAAAATTATTAGTACTAACACGGAATCTAGCATTATATATACTCTTTACTTAGCAAGTTCTGAATATTCCTGGGGAATGACTTTTTAGAGAACAGAGAGTATAGTTCCCTAAGATCGGAAAAGGAGGATCCTCCGACCAGGCGAGGTGATCGTGCCTGGCGGGCTTTCTGCCCAACAGTTGTTCGTTGGGATTTTCTATCCGTGTTTATTCGCTTGTAAACTTTGCATGTGCGATGTAGGATTCTTGTGACGTCATCCGTTGACATGTGGCATGCGTCGCCACAACTTAATGATGATATTATCAATGCCTAAGAAAACAATTATAAGGCAGACTTAACATTGCAATACATTTTTTTTAATTACATAAAATAAACTGAAAGTGTTAGAAAAACTGGCTCGTGTCATATCAGTGCCTTTAGCCACGCTTGTCTACCAAGAGAGTAGAAAACTAAATATGAGATGACACTGACAAGTGTCAAAATTTACGTCAATCCCATATAATTTGGTTTTCTACTCTACAAGTAGACAAGCGCTAAATGGCATTTGGCTCAGAATACAGGACATACAAGAATCGATGTCAGTTTTCTACAAAACAAAGACTTAAAATCTTACATCTACACGTACTCTGTGCTTCTCTAAGCCAAAATTAATGTCAAGAACTGTTTGTTCATGGCCTGGAATGTTTGTACATGTTAATTACGTTTGTTTCCGGCCCCATCACTTGGGATCTTAGTGTTTGAGAGCTAATTCCTAGGAGACAAAGGATAGGCTGGATATTAGCTCCAACATCACTATCATAACATGTTGATGACTTCAAGGAACTATTAAACAAGTGGACTGCTGGAGTTTGACCCACCCAGGTCTGAGTGACCGACTGCAGCGGAACGTGTCGTTCCATTCCCCCTATGGAATAACTATAGGTGTACATGTTCTTAAATATGAGCCACAAAAAATCGTAGTGAGGATTTAAAAAAAATTGTAATCGCATATGCAACTTATTATTATACGCCCCGTACGTGGCTTGAAACAATTCGAGCGATCTTTAAAGTGAAAATTCATCAATTATCATCAACAGCTTATAAGTGGCCACTGCTAACCAAAGGATGGATAAGGTTTCACCACGGAATCACCACGCTTGCTTAATGCGGGTTGGCGATTTATAATTATAAGTTTGAAATCGCCATTGAGGACCCGAACCTTTATAACTAAATATTCTAATAATTTCTAATTATAATTAAATATTCTAATTAGAAATTACTACCCCAGGTTTCCTCATGATGTTTTCTTTCACCGTTTATCAGCGATGTATAGATAACCTTATAAAGTACATAATTAATCTTAGAAAATACGTAAGATATAATTATAACTCGGAAAAAGTCACATTGGTACGTGTCGCACCCGCACTCTCGCATGAGAGGCATGGGTTTTAAACCTCCGAGCCACCACCACATTGTCGAAAGTGAAGATTAGGTTCAAATAAATCTATGGCTCTTGTTCAATTTATTGTACCAACCATGCATTGAACATTTTTAACTTCAAATGTATGTTAGTCCAAAGATAACACGGTCTTTGTAAACGGATTGCTTCACTACATTGCTCAGAGGAGCATGAAAGGTATAAATCATAAATCCACAGACAAGAGACTAAGGAAAACGTCGCTTGATTTATCTTTGTATAAGGGTATTTGAAAATACAGATATACCGAGATCTGATTAATATATATTTATATATTATGTAGGATCTTGATTTATGGCAACATATTTGTGGAATTAGAAGAAAATGTTTGATATAAAAAGTGATGGATTTTATCAAAATATATAATTATGTGAGTAAGCCGAAAACATAATAATTAAGTTAGTATGTATGTCCCATGGTAGTAGTTCGTATATAGGTACGTTTTATACTGAACTGCTCGATACTTATAGATTA